CACCGAGGCTGGGCCCGGCACGACTGCCGGCACCGCGAGGACGCGGGCGTGGTCTGCGCAGGTACCAGGGGCGCGGGGCCCCCCGGGGCGCTGCCCCTTCTCCCCTCCCCGAGCATCCCCGAGGTCAGAGCTCGGCCCCCGAGGGCTGTCAGGCGGCCAAGGCGGCAGGGTCTAGGGTAACCAGAGCATGTCTGTTACCCAACCATTTTGGTAAATGTTTCCGTGATTTTATGAATCAGTTTTGTCCAATTACAATTCAGAGCAATATTTGTTCCGAAATATAGCTGCAAGATCATGAGGCCAAGGGAAGAAGCGACAGTGTCATAAGTGATTGAGGTCATAGGAGTTACAATGTATCCAAGTGCCTTTCTCAGTCTCAAGGTCATCGAGGACACATCCTGGGCTGAGGCCCTTCTTCATCTTGCCCTGGCCCTCAGAAGTCAGACCCCACAATGTTCTGAGCTCCCCTTGTGCCCCTTTCATCCAAGACTTGGCCCATACCTTTCCTTAAGTACTCTGATCATCTCCCAGTATCTGTCTTGTCACCCTGACCGCCACAGTTGTCACCCTGACCTCCACAGTTGTCACCCTGACCTCCACAGTTGACCCCCCTCCTCCCGTGGGGAGTGGTACTTCCTTTAGCTCTCCTAGGCTTACCCACGTAAGTGGGATTCTTAGATTTGGTGACCACGTCTGCGCTCACCTTGTCTGCCCCATTCTTGGTTTTTTATGGGTAAACAAGGTAAAGGAATCTCTGCCATTCGTTTTACCTTGATGTAGGAATTGCCTTTGTTTTGCACAGAAATGGGGCCCAAATAGAAAAGGGTTCAGAGATCCCTTGAGACAAACGTGAATCCCGAGGGAGCCTGAGCGTCTCAGTTTGCCTGAGGCCGTGGGGTCTCTGTCCTCCAGATCCTCACTTTTATTGTGTCTGTTCACAGTCTGGGGCCGACAGTGCCTGAGGGGGCTGAGCGAGTCCCGCCAGCCACACGCCCTGGCCTGGGCCCTGGCCCTAGGTCACTGTCCCGCTTGCGTCTGGGCTGGGGAGGCCTTTGCTAGCCACAGGCTTCCTGTTTCCAGCCCGAGTTTCCAGGTGTGCCAGGTGCCTGGGAAGGGGCACCAGCCAGCGTTCAGAGATGTGACAGTGTTTGTAACCTGCACAGCCCTGTGTTTGCTGGTCTCTTGCTTCCACAAACCTTCCTGTAGACGACACCGTGTTCTCAACACTACTCCACACGCTCAGCATCCCTCCCTGTGGCTCCATCAGGGGCGTGGGGCTCTCCTTTCCTTTGCGTTGCCCTGGAGCACTCTCCTGCCCTAGTGCTAGCTTTGTAGCTAAACCAAGTGAGCGGCGTCCCTACATTTCATCTACTGCTGGCTACACCTCCTCCGGTGTCTCTGCACAGCTGACATTGCTCCCCCCCTTCTCCCCCCCCCCAGATGGAGCCGACCCTGTCGTGCCCAAGGACCACGGTAAGGTCTGCTCTCCTGGGGTCTGAGGCTGCAGAGGGGGAGCTGGGAGAGCCGTTGTCTGGGGAGGAGACATCTCCATCCACTCACTGGGCTTCTGGAGGTTGGGGAAGAAACCCCTTTGAACCCCCCTTTGCTCCCACTCTTTTTCCAAACGGACAGCGTGTGAAATGAGCTATCCTTTACCTCCTTAGATGAGGCTCTGACCCCGGGCCCGTGGGGTGCACGTGGTGGGTAGGGTTCCCCGAGGCTGCTGTGTGACTTTTGGAAAAGGGGGTTATAAATTAAGTCAGTGAAAGTGAAGTCGAAAGTGGGGGGCAATGAGAGCTGAGCCCCCCACCCAGGGCAGTCGGTACTTCTATAAAGTAAACAAACACCCACAGCCCACGCCCCTGACCCACACGCCCAGTGGATCAGGCTCTCGTGTGAGTGTCCCCCTGTCTTCCCGCAGCCCAGCTGACCTGCCTGCCTCACTTCTTCCAAGTCACCATTGACCGGGGCTACCTCTGGAGGCTGGGTTACTCCTCCTGGGACGTCCACTTAAACGACGAGCTGTGTCGCCCCCAGGTCATGGGGCGCTACCTGGTCTTCAACGTTCCTTACGGCCACTGTGGCACCGTCCAGCAGGTGAGAAACTGTCAAGGTGGTGGTGCCCTTCTGTGGATGGAGGCCCAGGAGAGAGGCTTGGAAAAGCCAGCCACCTATTTAAAAACCTTGGGGAGAGACACAAGCCGTGACTTTATTTCTGAGTTCAGGGAGGCCTGGAACAGCTCCCCAGTTTGTCTGAAACTTTCCTCCCATTTGGGAATGTGCTGAGTTTAGAACACACAGTAACAGCGCTGAGTGCTGATGGAGGGAGGGGTGGGGTGGATGGGGGTGGACGGTGGATGGGTGGGAGCTATTCCCTTAGCTCCAAAGCCACATTTCACAACAGGCTTGGTCAGCATCAGTGCACACCTGCCACGTGAAGCGTGGCGCTGGGTGTGGGGTAGGACAGAGGGTCCGTCTGACGGCTGTGTCTGACCAGGGCGCCAGCTGTGTCTCCCAGTCCAGGAATTAAATATCCAGGACATTTCTGTGTAAAGAAATGCACGCTTATTTCATGTTCCTTAACCACCCGCTTATTTCACAAAACAGCGTCACTGGAGTCAAGGAGACAAGACCACCAAAGGCAGGGAGAGTGTGTAATCACAGAACGGTTTTCCTCAGTACACACAGCAGTGTAACATGTTCCAAAGCGAGATCCCCGTGTGCTCCCTCCATCCTTCTGCACCTGTGTTCACGCTCGCACACATTCACACACACACTCACACACACACACATGCTCGCACACTCGCACACACATGCACACACTTGCACACACACGCACACACACACACTCACGCACACTCGCGCGCACACGCTCGCACACACACATGGAAAACACG